TATGATTATGACGTTGAATAACTTCCAAAAATAATGTCGGACGATCTTGCATATTTTTCGTGAAAATTTGTAGGAGGTACCCATTTTCATCATAATCGATTAATATTTTCAATTCCTTTAAAATATAAAAAATATTTTAATAAATATTTACAAATAATAATTTTTAAATTGTTATTCATTTAATTACCTGTAAAGTATTTAAATCTTCTTTTATTTTAATATTGTCTTCTTTTAAACGTTGTCTGAGTGTTTCGTAGTAAGTATCAGGTGCTTCCAAAAATTCCATTCCGCGACTTTTTAAATTTCTTATTGCTGATATTATATCGTGTGTGTTCAGAGCTATATGCTGGACTCCAGCTCCACCGTAGTAATCGACATATTCTTGTATTTGTGATTTTTTTTTCCCATTTGCCGGTTCGTTTAATGGCATCTGAAAATTAAAATAATGTTGTCGATATTTCACCTTTTATACATTTATTAATCAGGAGGGGAAGGAGGAGGTACCTTGATCGTTTCTTCCCAGTTAGTCACAACAATTGATCTCAATGCTGAATATTCAGTGTGTAATTGAGTATCATCGACGGACCAAAATCTATGAAACATAAGATTTTTTTCGTACCAGTTAGCAGAAGGTTCCATTCCAGAATCCGGTTGATTTCCAACAACGTGATCAACAAAATCTAAAAGTCCTGGAGCTCTAAAATAAAATTTAATTTAAAATAAATTTTATTGAAAAACAATTTAAAAAAAAGGAGGGAGAGAGAGAAAACATACAATTTGCATGATAAATTATCCTTTTGAATCGGTTTGAAAAAACCTGGAAGAAATAATCCTTTGTATTTGGATCTTTCGATAAGAGTATGAGTCGTATCTCCATACTGAAATAAATAAATAATTTATTAAACAATAAAAATAAATTTTAATAATAATAATAATAATAAGTTTACTCACCGTTTGAACAACAGCAAATCTCACCATTCCATATTCATCTCTTTCTTCCCAAATATCTCTTAATATTTTAGCACCTCTTTCTCTTGCAACTTTAACAATTGTATCCAAATCTTCGACGGAAAATGCCACATCTTTGACGCCATCACCGTGTTTTACAAGATGATCACTTAATTCTTTATCGTAAGGTTCGTATGCAGACACGAAAGCAAAAATAATCTATAAAAAAAATAATTTTTTAATAAAATCAAACACTTTGAGTAATTTAATAAAATTTTATTAAATTTCCAAACCTTGTTCTGTCGGACGACATGGGTGGCATATTTTCTACAACCTGTTTCCAACCCTTTGTAAGCAAGAGGTTCGAAACCTAATCTTGTGCAATAATAACTTGCTGCCTGTAAAAAATTAATAAATAAACACGAAAATTAAATAATTATAAATAAATAAAAATTTAAGGGTTGTAATTTCTTACTTGTTTAGCATTTCCAACCCAAAATGTAATATGGTCGAAGCTTAAAAATTTACCACCTTCAGGTTTTACTCCCTTATCCTTGTACGTGGTCATGATTGTCTTTTAAAAAAATAATTTACTTTAAAACAACCAAACTATTTGCGACGTGTCTTTGAGAAGAAATGATGGTTGGAATTTGAAGAAGCAATCATTGATCAGGTTTTGAATGTCTCTTCAACGACGAAGGTAAACTGGAATCCTGTTTATTTAAATAAATTAAGACCTGTTCGGGAAGAAGACAACATTTTAAAAAATGATAAAACATTTTTTTTTTGTAATAGTATCCAACCAAGAGTAATAAAAGTAAAAATTCCAATTTAAAAAAAAAAGGTTTCAATTTAAACAAGAAGAGAGAGAGAAAGAGAGAAAATAATAGGGTGTGTATTTTATCACCCTAACCTTTTTTTTTCTATCTCTCTCTCTCTCTCTCTCTTTTATTTTTTTAAATTATCAATTAAACGAATTTCATATCAACATAGCAACAAATCGGTTAATTTAATTTAATACAAATTTAATAATCTTTTTTTTTTATAAACAATTAACGATAAGGTTTGACTTTCATAAAAAAAAAAAGTATTAAAGCATCAATTATTAGACATTTATTGATTAAAAACAATTTAAAACCAGGATTAATTATTATTATCATTAGATAAATAAATAAATAAATATATATATATATATATATATAAAAGTATTATATAAATATTTTTTTTTTTTAATACCGTACTTTGGTTAAAAAAATATATTAGAAATTTTTTTTTTTTTAGATTTTATAATATAAAATTCATTTTTTTTTTTTTTAAATTTGTAAAATAATAATATTAATAATAATAATAATAAAAATAATAATAATAATAAAAGTATACATATTTATAAATTTATAACAAAAGAAAAAAAAAAATTAATATACAGTAAAAAATAATAATAATAAAATACAATAAAATTTTTTTATTGATATATATATATATATATATATATTAAAAAATAATCAGTACGGGGGAATATTAATATATATTATAGTATAATCGTTAATAGAAATTTATTAAAATTTTTTTATTATTTTAAATTAATTTTAATACATCTTATTAAAATACAATAAAATATATTTAATACTATTTAAAAAAAAAAAAAAAGAAAATTATTTATTGGGAACATATAGAATTTTTATTAACGAAAAAAATTATTATTATTATTATTATTATATTGTTAATATCGATTGATTTTTTTGATTGAAAAACGATAGAAAAAAAATTAAATTAAATTAAAATATATATATTAATATTTTCGATTAAAAAATTTTTTTTTTTTTATTAGAAAAATACTGTGTAAATCATTTAAAATGACAAAAAAAAAAAAAAACAACCTGAGTGAAAAAAAAACAAACAAACAAACAAACGTATTTTTTTTTTTTTTTTTATTAAATTGTCAACAAGAGTTAATCAAATTTTCAAGGTAAGCCACGTAATTTATATTTCTAGAATTTATTTCTTAGTTTACAGTCTTTGGCACGAGCAATTATTACAATTTTTTTTATTTTTTTTAATTAGAAAAATAATTAATTACGCGAAATATTTATTATATATTTAAAATATATATATATAAAAATTAAATTTGTTTGTTTGTTTGTTAATTTTTTAAAAAAAAAAAAAAAATCTATAAATTCATTGTTAGGTTAATTTTTTTTTTTTTTTAAATATTTCATTAATAATAATAATAATAAAAAGAGTATTTTCATTAAGAGATTTCACAAGTTACGAATTAATCCAGAGATTCCGATTAAAAGTGGAGGAGGATTTACCGAGATAATCAGGAATGAAAACAAATTTTTTTCTTCTTCTTATATCATATCCTGTAAAAAAATAAAAATAAAAATAAAATTGATAATTTTTATTGCGTGATGATTAATATGAAATTCCTGGAGAAAATAAATAATAACAAACCCCTTTTTCCCATCCTTCTCCCTCTCCAGCAAGTTGATAATGACGTCGTCTCAACGACGCGAGTTTTTGCCTTTCCTGTTGTAAAGAAGCTTCGAGTTCTAAAACTTTAACCTGAGATTCCATTTCTAAACGTTTGGCTTGATGAAGTGATAAACCTGTGACGTCTAAATCTTCTGCAAAATTTATCTCAATTATTGTGACGTCATTTATTTAAATAAAAAAATAAAAAAGATACAAAGTGAGAGTCTTACCGGATTCTTCGATGAGCTGACTGCAACTTTTAGCTGTAGCAACGACTCCAGCCGTAGATTGGGCAACACCTTTGCTTGCAGACGACAATTCTTTTAAATTTTCGCTTTTTTTATCCGCTTTTACTCGGCTGGCGACAACCAACTGCGCAGTGCTCGCTGCAACTTCTTGAGAAGCCACAATCAACTGCTCGAATTTCCCCTGACCGCTCACAACTTTATCGGCGCAAGTTCTAAAATATCACAAAATTTTCACAAGACTCCATTTTTAATTGATTTGACGTAATTAAATTTTAAAGTTACTGCAATCGTACTAACAGTAAAAATTTAGCCCCGACAGCAACCGCCTTAGCTGCCGATATGAGTCCTTCCGACCATTGGTGATTCCTTTTGTAAAATTCCTTTGACGAGTTTGTTCCTTTCCCCTGCGACACGATTTCGGCTTGAAGCAATCTGGCTCTTTTAATAAGGATTTTAATTGCCGTCATTAAATTAGTACAAGAATCTAATATTTTTTCATTGACTTCTAATTTTACTCCCGAATGAGATTTTCGCGATTCATTAAGCATTTCCTTAAAAAACGATAAAATTAAAAAAAATTATTATTATTATTATTATTATTATACGTATATCAACTCGGATGAATTTATCTTACCCCCATTTTTTGAGTAGCTTCTTCTATAGCTTTTTCCATTGCAATTAGTTCACCTTCGACTAAATCTTCTGCCATGTCAGTAGCATCAGTTTTCAAATTCTTCGTTAATTCCTCCACCAATTCTTCTACTTTTTTAATGTTTTTCGTCAAATTTTGACATTTTTCATTGAGTTCATTGGCGGAATTCTTAACTTCGACACTTTTTAAAAGAGATAAATATTCAATTCCGACTGCTTTACACGCATCAGCCATTTCTAAAAAAAAAAAAAAAAAAAAGTTATAAATTCACGTGTTTTAATGCGAAGGAAGAATTTTTTTTTTTTTAAATTTTAAAATATTATTTTACTTTCTCCGAATTCAATGTCTTTTGAAGAATTACTCGTCATTTTTCCCAGCATGACGTAATTATTAATTCGATTGCTGAGTCGCAATAAATTTTTCAATAAATTTTCATGTTTTTCACCCTTTGAGTTTGCATACTCCAGGGATGAAAACTCAAATTCGTTGGCACTTGATAAAGTAGGCCTAATTAATTCACAAAAATAATCAGGAGCTAGTGTCGAACCCGAAAGAGCTGGATTATCTACTTCCTCTACGCACAGTCGAATACTTTCCTGACATTCTAAAAAACTTTCCCCTAAAAAAAAAAAAAAAAAAAAATTTATGTTAAACATAAAAGCAATATATTAACTATTGGCAATTTATTAAAATACTCACTTAACAATTTTTCAATTTTTTCATTGCATTTTTCTAATGAATCCTTTTCCGATTTCAACAATTTTTTTTTATTTTCTTCAAGTTCGATTTCTAATTTTTTACATTCTTCAGTTCTCTTTGAATTATCTTCAATTAATTTTTCTTTTTCTGCGACAACCCCTTTTAAAACTTTTGATATTTCCTGTAAGGAAAAAAAAAAAAAAAAAAAAAATTAATAAATTTAAATCGATTCATATTTAAATAATTTCAAACGGATTTTCACCATTTTTTCATTTTGTAATATATCCTTTTGAGATTTCAAAAATTCTATTTCTCCCATTATATTTTCCGTCAGTGCTATTTTTTCTTGCGCTTTATTATTTTCAGTCAGTAGTTCATTCATTTGAATTGAAATTTCATCTTTTAATTTTACAGCTTCTTCGCAAGAATGTTTTGACAAAACTAATTGCTTATCGACATCTGCTTTAGTACGTATCAATTGTATGTGTTCTTCTCTGAGTTTGGTATAAACACTTCGTAATTTTTGAAATTTTTCTTCCATTGTTTTAGCTCTTTCTATACAATAAAACAAACAAATTACATATAGAAAACATTGAAATACGTAACTATAATGTTAAGAGGTCTAGTTTTAAGTATGAAACCTAATACATAATAAAAATTTACTTTCATATTCGTGATATTTAGATGCTTCTTCGGTGTGTCTTAAGAGGTCTTCTTTGAGTTGTCTTTCTTGCAATAGTTCGCTGTCTCTGGTTGCTAAATCAGTCTCCAATTCAACTATTTTGTCACGTAGTTCTTCAGAAATTTTTTGATGTTCCATCATAAAATTCTGCATTTTACCTTTAAGCCTTGCTATTTCATTTTGCAATTGCTCGATAAGATTATCCCTAAAAAGAACAATAAAAAAAAGTATACAAAACAAAGAAAAATTATACAAGTCGTTTACAAAAATAAAAACTTTAAGGATTTTAATCCTATGCATGTATTTAAAAATTATTACCTTTCACTTATGGTTTCTTCAGGTGAAACAGAACCATTTCTTTGAGTTGCGTTTACAGAATCTGTATTTACTGAATTAAAATCGGAATGATCAATTAATACTCCATCCATTTGATCTTGTTCTGGATCTTCTGGTAAAACAACTACCGGTGTGACATAAGTTCTAAGTTCAGCTTCAATTAAAAAATTTGGGGGATTCTGAAAGTAAGAGACGATTGATATATAAGGTACATTAATTCAAAATCGGATTAATTAATACACAAATTATACTTTACATGTGGTAATAATGGTATTTGTATCAAATGCTTAAAATATTGTAAATTGCTCGCGGCTTGGTAAAAATCTCTTAATATTTCAAATTGTTTGAGAAATCTTTCACGGTGACCAATAAGAGTATCGGGGGGCAAGCTGGAATGAAGTTTAAATAATATTTTCACGCTATAATCGTACAATCGAGATGAGTCTTGAATGCATGGAATTAAAGGTGCCAATTTACATTGACCGGAGGACATCATTGAATTACACCGCGACATGTTTAACGATCCGAAAACTAAAAATTAAACAAAAAAAAATTTAATAATTTAAAATTTATTTTATTACAAATTCATAAAATATAAAAAAAAATTAAATACTTTACCTGCAGATTGTAAAGATAAAATGTCGTCCATATAATCAAACATTTCGACAGACATCTGAAAACTAAATTTTTGTTTTTTTATTATTAGGTTAAATTATAAAGAGGATTAGTGAGTAAAAGTTAAGGCCAAAATTTTGAAAAATATAAAAACTAAATTTAAAAAAACTGAAATTACACCTTTTTACAAAATTGAATTTCGATTCGATAATCGCATAATTATGCTAATGAGAGTTGTTATCATTACTTAAATTTACGGAAATGAATATTTAATAAAATTAAAAAATAATAAATTAATAACTTACTAATTATTTATATCATTTTCACCGATAGATTCCAATTCTTCTTCGGATACGACCAAATTAGCAGGAAATCGTGGATTCCTCCTGTGAAAATCTAATTTAGTCAACAAAAATTGGGTGTAGTGTTGAATCAACTTTCCATATCCTTCTCTCAAATGACACTAAAAATATAAAATAATAACATGTTTATAATTTTTTAATGAACCAAATATTTTTTTAAATAAACAGCTTTTTTGTTTAGATACAATTATAAATAGAATTTAAAAAAAAAAAAATTAATTATTCATCATAAAAATCTAACCCATAATTTTCCCAAATCCTGAATCATTTCTCGATGTTTTTGAGAATGAACAACAACTTGAGGATGTCCCTCTCGAAGAACTTTGTGTAAAACGTGACAAAATTTCCATGCTACTATTCTATTATCTTGCAATGGTAATTTTGATACCACAAGCCAAAATGTTTTACCACCCTTTTCTCTAAATGTTCCTATAATGGTGCTTCGAACATGTTTTTCCTTCACTGGACTTTCATGATTATTTATAGCCTTGTTTATGCTTATACTCTGGAGAACAAAATATTAACAAATTTAAAGTACATTAAACTTTAAGTTAATACTAAAACAAAATATACACTATTTATTTCTTCTTATTGTTTAACATTAAATTTAAAATTTATTAAAAAAAAAAAAAACTTATCTTAAGAAATTGCACAATTTGTATTTCCTTTTGTTTAACAGGGAAAAAAAAAATTAAATTTTTTATAAAATCAAATTTAAATACATCCTTTAAATAGTATTTAATAAATAACTGAGTATTTTATTTTGTAAATAATAAATTTTTTTTTGCCTAAACAAGTTTTGATAGTAAATTATCAAATGACTATAAAAACATTTTACTTTGAGGAAATACAAAAATAATACTGAGATAAATTTATTTAAAAAAACAAAAACTTAAATATGAAATATTATAGTTAATATATAATAATGCAATTTCACTCTAAAGTATAGAATAATAAAAAATTTTCTAATTTTTTGATTTAAAAAAAAAAATTAATTTTGTTGCGACAAGTAATAAGCTAATAAAAACCTTTAATGATTGACATAAATTTAAATAAATTAATATTTTGTTGAATTGTTTAAAAAAAAAAAAAAACAATCATTTCAATGTTTAAAGTCCGAATTTTTAAATTTCTTTTCAACAATTTAATATAGAACAAATGAAAATTCACCTTGATTAAATGAAAATAAACTTCTTGTTTGATGCCAATCCTACAATTTATGACCTTCAATATTCAAATATCAAATTAGTATATAAAATCTTTAACAATCTCAATTTTTTTTTTTTTTTTTATGTAATGCAAGAAGATCTATATTTCAAACTTGTACAGGTTAATAAAAAAACAGGCAAAAACTTACAAATATGCATAACTTGTGATAAAAACTAAAAAAATGTCAACCATTATGATAATTTTTCACACTACAATTTCATTAAAATAATTCAAAGTAAAGTTTAATGAACAATATGCTTTATTATTCTTCATTCTTTTTAATGACTTGAGTTAAAGAATATTTTTTTAATTAATATAAATATGTTGAAAATTGTATTGAATTAAAAATAACCTTTTTTCATTTATGTACAGTTAAAAACAAAATAAAAAAATCAATGATTTTACAAGCAAATTAAAAAAGTAATTCATTCAAAAAAATTTTAATTATAAAATAATGAAGTAATCATCTGTTGAATTGCAAAATGTTAAAAAAAAATTAATTTACTGAGTACTGATCATTGTAATTATTTCCAGCTCATATTTTTTAAAATTACCCTTTAAAAAAAAAACATTTTCTGATGATTATCACTAATAAAAGTATTAAAATAAAATTTCGTTATAAAATAAATAAATATTATGAAAATGAGCTTCCTGTTTTTTTTTTTTTTTTTGGTACACAGAAAACATGGGACAAAAATTTAATATTTTTTAAAAAAGTACATTATTATTTTCTTGTTTAACATTGAGCATTTCTGTATTCAATTTGCAATCGGTAATATTTATAAATATTAAGTAGCAAAACAAAGTTTTACTTTGAAATACAACAAAATGGTGGTGAACACCAAAGTAGTAAGAAATTTAAGTCTACCGTTTTGTTCTGGAATGTTTTAACAGTACCTGAGATTTTTCAAAATTTTCCCGCTCTAATTCCAAACTTGTTTTTCGCTGTTGTAAAACTCGCGGTATAGGTAAAGAAGTCATTATTATTATATTTAAACGATTTTATGTTATAAAATTAAATAATTATTTCCGGAAATACATATCGACAGTTGCTCCTAACTTTAACCCCATCACTCTTTTGATGCGTTAGCTTAAACTAATGAATTAACCTCTAGCGACCAAATTGCGTACTAATAGAATATCATGGCTTCCGTTAATTAGTCGTGGTAGTTGTGTATATTGTTTTTTTTGTGAATTTCTATTTCAATTTTTTTTTTTTTTTTTTAAATTATGAATTGACTAATAGAAATTATTTTGTTTTAAATTCAAATATGATTCTATTATACAACCAAGTTTTTTTCACGTTACTGTAAATCACATGCATATTTATTATTATTATTCTTTTTTTTTTTACCTGACATTATACCGAATTTTCAATGGCAAATAGAACTGTAAATGATGCTAAATCCGTTAGAGGATCCAATCCTCAATATTTAATTGAAAAAATTATTCGAGCCCGTATTTACGATAGTAAATATTGGAAAGAAGAATGTTTTGCCTTATCCGCTGAACTACTGGTTGATAAAGCAATGGAACTGAAATATGTTGGTGGTGTTTTTGGTGGCAATATTAAACCAACACCTTTTTTGTGCTTAATTCTAAAAATGTTGCAAATTCAACCTGAAAAAGATATTATTGTAGAATTTATTAAAAATGAAGAATTTAAATATGTTAGAGCTCTGGGGGCTTTTTATATGAGACTAGTTGGAAACCCCTTAGAGTGCTATAAATATTTAGAACCTCTTTTAATTGACTGTCGAAAATTAAGAAAACAAAACAGGCAAGGGCATTTTGAATTGTTACATATGGATGAATTTGTTGATGACCTGCTAAGAGAAGAAAGAATGTTTGATATTATATTACCCAGAATTCAAAAGAGACATGTTTTGGAAGAAAATAATGAAATAGAACCCAAAATATCGGCTCTTGATGATGATTTAGATGAAGAAGTTGAGAAGTCAGATGAAGAATCACCCAAAAGAACTACCAAAGATAAAAAAAGTAAGTCAGATGGAAAGTCACCAGGTAAAAGTGACAAAGGTTTAATCAAGGATTGGGATAAAAAATACAGAAGCAGTAGAAGAGATAGAGATCATGAAAAAAATAAAACAACAAGAGATTGGGATCGAAGAAGCAGAAGTAGAGAGAGAGATAGAAGGTATAGAGACAGAAATGATGATTGGACTCGAGATAAGGGCAGAGATAGAGATAGGGGTAGAGACAGAGATAGAGACAGAGACAGAGACAGGGACAGGGATAGAGACAGAGACAGAGACAGGGATAGAGACCGAGATAGAGACAGAGACAGAGATAGAGAAAGGGAAAGAGATAGAGACAAGTCAAAATATGATCATTACAGAGATTATTAAGTGTAACAGTAGTTACGATGGTTAATGTAATTATATCATACAATTTATAAACTAATTTAAAAAATAAAATTAAATAAATAAATAAATAAATGTTGTTAATTCAATCGAATAACTTTAAAACATTATTTTAAATAAATAAATAAATTATTAATATGATTTCTATAAATCATCATAAAAGAAGTAATAAAAAAATAATAATAATAATAAAAGAACAATATTTTTTTAATCTATTGTCAATTTTGTATTGATATTTACAATGTTCAGCTGATTTAAATATTTTTTTTATATTGACATGCTTTTGAACTTGGAAAAAGTTTTATATTTGTAAAAAAAATAAAAAATAAAAAAAGGTTTTAATACTTTTTTTAATAAATGCGATCATGTAATGTATATTACGTTTAAAAATACTATAAAATATGTAATTATTTTACGATAACAAAAATTAAAAATAATTTGATTATATCAATGATATTTAAATTTTAATTATTTAATTATCCTTTAACAATACCTTTAAAATTTAAATAAAATGGTTATTTTTCAACGTACAAGGATAATATTCGATAACTTTGGATTTATTAAAAGGTGGTTTGTCTTAATAAATACGTCAGCCATCTTGCGCGCCTTTTACATACCATTATTTAATTACCGCGTGTTTTTAATATGTGTCAATAATAAAGTTTTAAGTGTTGTTAAAAAAAAAAAAAAAAAAAATTTTTTTTTTTAATAAAGTAAATAGAAAATGTTTGATGTTGAGTTTATAAGTATTATGCAGTTTTTTTTACATCACATTCTTTCATTTAATTATTGGTTATTTTTATAATAACCTATTCTCGTTACTGTTTTTTTGTCGTGAAATGTTTTTATTTAATGATAGTTTTTGTAAAAAAAGCTAATGATAAATTTTGTAATTAAATTATAACTGTTCATAAAATTTTTGTGAATTTTATTTTATTTAAAAACTATTAAGAGTAATTTTTATCGTAATTAGAATGGCGAAACTTAATCATCAAGAAGTAGCCGAGCAGGTTTTACAGGTGAGCTTTTTTTATTTTCCTCAAAAGAAACAACAACCATTTTTCAAAATTTACTATTTCCCAAAAGTCTAATATTTCAATTAAACTAAAATGTTATTGTAAGTATTATTACTTTATATACATAATATTAATGTCAACAAGAAATTTGTATTATATTTGCCAATTGACATTACAATGTTTATATTCATTCCAACTAATAAATGGATCAATGTATGATGAGCATAAATATAAAACAAAAATATTTACATATATTTTTTAATTCTTAGGCTTCAATAATATTATTGTTATTATTATTTTAGATGTTTACAAAATCACTTCAGGATCATACTAGCTTAAAAAGCATACTTTCTGAGTTTTGTATTTTAGAATATTTTGGAATGTTTTTTTCTGGAAAAGATAAAGTTGTATCACATTTAATGGCAAATTTGCTTGGATCCAACTATGAATTATCATCTCTGAGATCCAATAACTCATCATGTGCATCAGGCTTACAATCAATTCAGAAAATTGAGGTATATTTATGAAAATTTAATGTAAAAATGTGTATTTAAATGTGTTTTTAAAATAATTTTTGTTATTTATATCATTTAGAAAAAAATTGATGAAGAGCTGGGAATTGGGTTTATTTCACCCCCATCATCAGGATTTCCAAGCCTAACATTTTCAACCCCAACCAGATGCGTTTCTGCTATAGGATTCGATTCAACAGAAAATCATAATCACAAAAATAAATATCAAGGCAGTCATTTTCAAGAGTGCAGTTCGAACAAAAAATTAGGTATTTTAAAAAAACTTTCAAAGTTTTCAATGTTATGCATAAGTAATTTAAAACATTTGTTAATAAAAACGTAAAAAAAAAATTTTTTAGGTGAAGATGTAGAATTTAACTTACCAGTATCGCCTCAAACCATTCAGCCTTTATTCCCTGAAAACATTAGGCATTTGACAGCTTTTGGAACCATCAGATATCCCAGAAGATCAGTTCCAACGAAGGATCCTAAAAAAATAAAACATCAGAGTTTATTAAGGTTAAGAGATCGTTTTTGTCAATTGTATTTGGGATTTGAATGTGATGAACATGTAATTGGTGTAACAAACTGTAAAATTTGGACAATTAGGTACAGTGTAAGTAGTCAAGTAGCTCCGAGAAACTTATTAAAATCATTCAATGAAGTCGAAATGAATTAATAAAAAATATTTTTAAAAATTTTTACCAAACTGTGTTGAATTATAAAAAAATTGTACATACAAGATTTATTTCTGTTAGTATTTAGTAAGCACACATTTATGAACTCATAACTTCGAAAAAGAAAACAACAAAAATTTTAATTGTATTATTTTTTTATAATAAAAAACTTAAAATATAAAAAAAAAAAAAAAAAAAAATTAAGATGATTAGAAAATTATTTTTGTCAAATTAAAATATAAATAAAAATAATTGTTTTCGTTTTTTAATAATTGACAAATAATTTTATTTTAAATTTTAAATGTTTATTAAAATTTTAATTTTTAATACTTTAAATTGAAATTTATTATATATGTATGTATGTAAATTAAACCTGATTGTTTCAATTAAATGTTACAGTCAAGTAAAAAAAAAAATTTTATGTTTTATAATTGTAACGGTCAGATCACCTCCGCCATTTTTTTTTTTTTAAATTTAAATTTGTTTTGTTAATTATAATGTTTTTTTAATAAAAAAAAAAAGAAAATTAGTTATAATTTTAAAATATTTAAATTTTGTTTCGTTAGAAAATAATAATAATAATAATTTTGTTAATTAAATTGTTAATCGTGTAGTTTTTTATTTGTTTTTATAATTTGGTAAAGACATGAAAATAATTATAAGTAATCGTTATGTTAGTAATTTTTTTTTTTTCATCTTTACATATTTGATTTCAATAATTTAATAAAGTTTTTTTTTGTTTTATATGACGTACTAATTTAAAATCAAACTATGTTTTTTTTTTTTTTTATTTGAAATGTATTAATAGTTTATTTATTTAAATTTAGGAAATTATTTTTATTAATTATTATACTTAATACAATTTCGTTTTCATTTGTGCTGGCAATCAAAATTGTTGATTTACTTTTTTTTTCAAATGTTAAATTGAACAAATATATATCTATATATATATTTAAAAATTTACACAGGCTCTTACACAAGCCTGTATTATTAATATTTTATATGTAAATTAAAATTTGTAAATAAACATGTTAAAGGAAATTCAAATTCAAATCAATTAATGTAATGTTAAACTTACCATAAGTGTTTTCACATTTGTTACCAGTTCATTATTATTATTATTATTAAGTTTTTTCTTTGTTTATTATGATAATCATATCAATTACATGTTGTCCTAATTTTGTTACCTGTTAATATGTCGTACTACCATGCACTTATATAAATATAATGAATTTAATTGATTATAACATTTTAAAAAAAAGTTTTATTAATTTTTTTTAAATTATTCCTTAAATAAAAATTTGAATTTTCATATTCGGTTTTTGTTTTTTGAAATTTAAAAATTTTTAGCTGCAAAAATTTATATAAAA